TGACTTGCCCACGATCACCCAGCCACTGCTCCTCCCCTCTCCCCGTCCCAGACGGCTGCTGGGAAGTTTGTTCTGCACAGTGCAGTCAAGGCCAGAAGCTGGGTCCTCCTGTTTGTCACCTGCTCCTTCTCCTGCTCTCCTGGCCGCACGCCTGGCAGACAGAGGGAGGCCGCACATCCCACTGCCTCTGCTGTGTCCTCTCTCCTCTCCCTCTTTTCCCCTTGCACCGCTGCTGCTTTCTCATGTGCAAGGGAAGTTTCGGTGGACAAAGAAGCCCCCTAGAAAAGCTGCAGAAATCATGCAAACATATCAGTGGAAGGAATCCTGTCCTGCTTGGCTGCAAATGCCCTTCAGGCTGGACCGGGCAGAACCGGAACCGGAAGTCCTGTCTGCGTCTCGCATCCTCCCTGCGCGTGGTCGGGGGAGGCAGTGGGTCTCCACCAGAGAGACTGGCGGCTGGGCCTCCTCACCAGGCAAACGCAGAGGTCCTGGCAGCACCCCCAGACTTACACCTGCCTAAAGGGAGAGGGGTCCCACACATGAAAAAAAGGGCAAGAAGCCATAGCAGTTTGGAAGTTTGACACGTGCTTTGGGTATCTGTGTTGGCATTTTGGAGGAAAATGAAAAGGAAAAGGAACCTACACTCATTTCAGCAAGTGCTTCCAGGGTGCCAGGTGTGTTCAGATTTCAGGTGAGGAAGCCGGGGCCCAGGGTGACTAGGTCACTCACCTGAGGTCCCAGGGCAGTGACCCCATTGCGGAGTGGGGGCTCTCGACTTCCTCCCTCCCAGCCTGTCCCAGCCCCCTCACTTTCCTCCTCCTCCTCACCCTCCATCAATTCCCCAAAGCTGCCTGTCTCCCCACGTGGTCAGAGGCTGCAGTGGGGAGAGGATTGAGGCTCCCAGCCAGCTCCAGGCCAGGGGTCCAGCGTGGGCATGGCAGAGGGGAGTTAAGCAGCTGGGGGAGGTGTTCTCTGCCAGGCGTAAGGAGCCCAGGTGGAGTGGGGCAGAAGCCAGGTTCAAGACTGGACCACAGGGTGCTCACGAGCTCCGGGCGCTCTGCCCACCGTCCATCCTGCTGACCACATCCGTGGGGATGGGGTGGTTGCAACATGTGCAGAGAACCACATCTAAAACCTAGTCCCAGGCTTATAGCCTAGCTTTAGACAATCCCAACCTGATGGAAATGGATTCGTTTTTAAATAGAGGTGACACTTCCTTGCTGAGTTTTAGGGGGCATAACTGAGAGAGGGCATAATGCAGTAATTAACCAGCCGGGCTCTGGAATCTGACAGACCTGGGCTCAGCTGTGCTATTGGTGAGCTGTGCGCCCTTGGGGAAGTTGGAGAACCCCCCTGAATCTCTACCGCCTCCTGTGTAAAGTGGGCAAACATGGTGTAAGAAGACAGTCTGCCTCAGGGTTGTTGGAGGGACCAGGCACAGGGTCTGGCTGTTGCGTAGTCAGGACACGCCTGTTGAATGAATGAATGTTGACTGACTCACACATTCCTGGGTGGAGGACATGATTCTAGGAATTCTCCTCAGCTGCTGGAATGGAGGGATGAAGGAGGAATGGCCCTGCCCTGGGGGAGGGATGGGAAGCAACGCAAGAGCACGTGCGAGGGTGGCCGTCAGGCCGTGCTGGGCAACAGCATGGCCGACGGGCGGCCTGGAGAACACGCTCTGCTTGCGATGATAGGGCGGGGAGCAGATCCCGACAAAGAGAAGGCTGTGTGCAGTTTGCAGGGA